TCATCAAACGACCAGTGTGCAGAACGCCTAAGCTATACTGCAAACTGTGTACTTATAATTCCGGACCACACTGTAATGTGGCGTAAACTTATTACACGCCACCACTTTAAACAGCTGACATTTTGGCAGTTGTCCTGCCATAAAACAGAAAACAAAATAAACAAGTTTGCGTAAAAATTTTGCAGTTGGGTAAAATGCCAAAATCCTAAAAAAATCCATCAAAATATTGTTAAAATGGATAGTGAACCAAAGCAAGAATCTAAAGATGTACCCGCACGGCCATTTAAATTATAAGTATTCATCCAATGCAGGTGTAATCGAAACTTGAGCAGAGTGGAAGACACGCCGGTGGACCGGTGCCGGCGTGCTGGAATACAAAAATAAATAACATTAATTTAACAATGTTTTTAACTATTCTATTTTCATATATGCACGGCGCATCAAATTGTGAGCTTGACGGGCATCAGTTTCGAACGGAAGAGCATAATAGTGAGTAGCTTGTAAAGTTTTTGTTGTTCTTGCATTCGTCCAGCGTATAGAGGGCTTCAGTGCAACAAAGCCCTGAAATGCCAAATTCATATGTAATCCGCTATAGTTTTGAACTGTGATTATTTCTTATTTTCCAGGGTGCTGTGGAGTTAACGATTGTGCCTACAAAAGAAAATTTGCGGTTGATAAGGTTGAATGCCAAGCAGTGCCGCATTTATCGAATACTTTTGAATGATGTGTGCGAGGCGGAGTTTTTCTACTTCGATCCCTTCTTGGATATCTGTCAGGGAGATACAAAAGTGTAGGATCATCGTATTAAGCCACCCTAACATTAATTTTCAATAAATCCTTTTTTGTTTTTTTTTTAAGACGCTCACTGGATGTGTATTCCAAAAATCACTTAGCAGCCGCGCAGAAAACAGACCCAGACGTTAACTCCGGCGAATTGTTGATACAAATTCCACCAGAGGGTTATCACATGATCCAAGAAGGCCGCGGTTTGCGAATAGGAATAGAATTCTCGATGGAGGACCCTCAAGGAGGCATACATTTCGTCATACCACCAACGAGTGAGGATGAAATGCTGCCCAATAGTGCACATATGTTCACGTATGCATATGAGAATTCGACACGTTTGTGGTTTCCTTGTGTCGATAGTTTTGCAGATCCTTGCACTTGGAAACTCGAATTTACTGTGGACAAACACTTAACTGCTGTGTCTTGCGGTGAATTAATCGAAGTTGTTATGACACCAGATTTGAGGCGTAAAACATTTCACTATTCGCTAACAACACCTGTATGTGCTCCAAATATCGCACTTGCTGTTGGCCCCTTTGAGATCTACGTCGATCCACACATGCATGAGGTCACACATTTTTGTCTACCACAGCTTTTACCACTTTTGAAAAATACAGTGCGCTACTTGCACGAAGCATTTGAGTTTTTTGAAGAAACGCTATCCACGCGTTATCCTTTCTCCTGCTACAAACAAGTTTTTGTAGACGAGCTTGATACAGATATCAGCGCTTATGCCACGTTGAGCATAGCTTCTGTGCATCTCATGCATTCCATTGCTGTCATCGATCAAACTTATATAACGCGTACATTGATGTCGCGTGCCATAGCAGAACAGTTTTTTGGTTGTTTCATTACATCACATCATTGGTCTGATACTTGGTTGGCTAAAGGCATTGCTGAATATTTGTGTGGCCTGTATTCACGAAAGTGTTTTGGAAACAATGAGTATCGGGAATGGGTTCAATCGGAATTGGCGCGTGTAGTGCGCTATGAAGAACAGTATGGTGGAATTATACTTGATTGTAGTCAGCCACCGGCTCCACTACCAGTGTCAAGTACGAATCCTGCAAGTGCGACTAGCAAGCAAACAGAAATCGTGCATTATTTTCCTATCAAAAGTTTACATACGGTTTCGCCTAAATATGTCGAAGCAATGAGGCGTAAGGCTCATTTGGTTATACGAATGTTGGAACACCGCATCGGACAAGAGTTGCTTATACAAGTGAGTTTTCTGTTTCTTTTTGTTTTATAATTTCCAATAATGGCAAAAAAGCCGTTTCAACGTTCAATGTTGCCTCATACGATCGTAAAATCTAAACAATCAACTTGCATTCGCAGGAATTCAAATAATATACATGCATTCATATGCATATATATATGTATATGTATGTTTCTTAAAATACGTTTTCCTCCCAGGTTTTTAATAAACAACTGGTGCTGGCTACTAATGCAGCGGTGACAAAAATTGGCTCCGGTTTATGGCATCACTTGCTTATTTCCACCAATATCTTTATCAAAGCTATTTTCACTGTAACTGGCAAGGATATGTCTGTTTTCATGGATCAGTGGGTGCGTACTGGTGGGCATGCGAAATTCTCTTTTACTTCGGTGTTCAATCGCAAACGTAACACAATTGAACTAGAGATAAGACAAGATTTTGTAAATCAACGAGGCGTCCGTAAATATAATGGACCCTTACTGGTACAACTGCAAGAACTGGACGGCACATTCAAACACATGCTACAGATTGAAAATACTGTAGTGAAGGCAGATATTACTTGTCACTCGAAGAGCCGACGTAATAAAAAGAAAAAAATTCCACTATGTACGGGAGAAGAAGTCGATATGGATCTCTCTGCAATGGAGTAAGTATATGGTTTCCAAAGTTTTTTTACCTACTTAGAAGGGGAATTACTAAATTGCATTTTTAATTTGACAGTGATTCACCTGTACTTTGGATTCGTCTAGATCCAGAGATGATTTTAATACGCGACCTAAACATAGAACAACCCGATTTTCAGTGGCAATATCAGTTGCGCCATGAGCGTGATGTGACGGCACAGTTTGAGGCTATAAAAGCCTTAGAGAAATATCCAACAAACGCAACGCGTTCTGCACTAACGGATACAATTGAGAATGAACGTTGTTTTTATAAAGTGCGCTGTGAGGCAGCACATTGCCTTACGAAAGTGGCCAATCAAATGGTGACACAATGGAGTGGCCCACCGGCAATGTTGAATATCTTCAGGAAATTTTTTGGCTCATTTAGTGCACCCCATATAATTAAACAGAATAATTTTGCCAATTTTCAGTTATACTTTTTGCAAAAAGTTATACCTGTCGCAATGGCCGGTGAGTATTTAGGATAGATTTTAAATGTAGATAATGGGCCAAGGATTTAAGTCGGACCTCCGCAGCATGCGTATATATTTTTTTTTTTAAATGGCGGCGACGATTTGGGACTTATTTTTGTTTCTAATTAAAATATGCAGCAAACAATCTCTTTCACCCAAATTTTTTACTTTCTTGTTTAGGCCTACGCACTTCGCATGGTATTTGTCCACCCGAAGTCATACGCTTTCTCCTGGATCTCTTTAAATACAATGATAACACGCGTAATCACTACTCAGATGTTTACTATCGCGCTGCTTTAGTTGATGCCTTAGGAAATTCCATAACACCTGTTGTTTCCGTTGCTCTACGTGGCACACCAATTACCTCGGATAGTCTTTCCGCAGATGCCAAGTATAAAAACTAATATTTATAAAATTATTTTGGAAAATTCCGTAAATATTTATAGACTCGTACTTGAAGAGGTCACTCGTCTACTCAATATGGAAAAGAACTTACCTTCATACAAATATATGGTATCTGTTTCTTGCCTTAAAGTGATACGAAAACTACAAAAATGTGGCCACTTGCCTTCGCTGCCGAAAATCTATCGCTGCTATGCTGCTTATGGCCAATATCTTGACTTACGTATAGCGGCTATGGAGTGTTTAGTGGATTTCGTAAAAGTTGATGGTCGTTGGGAAGATTTAGATCATTTGATTACACTGCTTGAAACAGATCCCGACCCAGCTGCACGGCATGCGCTTGCACAATTACTAATCGACAATCCACCATTTACGCGTGAGTCACGTAGTAGCCGCTTAGATCGGTCAGAGTTGGTGGAGCGATTGTGGTCAAATATGAAGTAAGTGTTAATATGATTTTTTATTCTTACATATTTAGTACATGTGTATATACAATTTATTTAAATATCAAATATCACTCCTTTACTTGCAGCAACAAACTAGCGTTCGATACGAAATTACGTTGTGATATGGTGGATTTATATCATGCGCTGTATGGCACAAAACGTCCCTTGTGCTTACAATCGGCCGATGTCAGCAACATGTACAAAGAAATCATTAAAGAAGGTACCAAGAAAACCAACACTCCAATCAGCACTGGCTCTATTAATGAAGTAACTGTAACGCCGCCTCCAATAAAAGAAGAGAAAGACGAAGTGGTTGATATTGTCGAAGAGAAGACCACTATAACATCACTGAAACGCACAGCTACCGAGTCGTTTGAAGTAGGCAATGAAATTATCAAACTGGAAACAAGCGAAGAAGTAACTCTGGTTGAGGATAATGCAATTAAAGTGGAGTCATACGAAAATGAAATAAAAGTTAATGTTGAGCAAGAAGCTGATACATCTGTGCACTCACCTGAGCCGAAACGTTTGAAGAGTGAAATCTTCGAAGAGGATGACAATTCTGTAACAATTATCGATATTGGCGAGACGACTATAACAAAAGCAGATAGCAGTTTTGAGGCAAGTAAAACCGATGCCGAAAGCAGACATAAGGCGGAAATCTCATCAAAGGTATGCGATGGCATTAATTCATACGACTGTGTTTGCACTTTTGATTTCTTTAAATTTTTTTCGTGTCTGTAGCAAAAAAAGAAAAAGAAAGACAAAAAGAAGCACAAACACAAGCATAAGCACAAGCACAACAAAGAGAAGGAGCGTGACAGGGAACGTGAGCGCAAGGATAAAAAAGATCCCAACATATCGCGCATTCAAGCTAAAGAAGCTACTCCTGAAACTCTCAGTTCAGCAGATAGTAGCAATTCCAATAGCAATCCACCAACGCTAAATTTTACATAAACACACTACAATATAATAATTATTTTTTATACAATTTACTTTTATATACATTCAGTAATTTGCTAAAATTACACGCAACAAGTTTGTTGACAGCTTAAAGTTTTCTAGCAGCATTTTTTACAATATACATACATATACATATATGTATAATAATAATCTTTAATAAAATTTGAACTACGTTTTCGTAAAATGCATTGCAAAAATGAATGTATGGATATATATATCTATGTATGATTTTTGTTTTATAAATTCTCTACTATTAGTCATTTTCAAATGCTGCATAGGTTTTACTTGAACGTCATTGTGTTTCGAAATATACGCGTACTCTATGATATTTAAAATTAAAAATTACATACATATAATTACATAATTATAAATAAATGTGCATTACAGTGCCAACTGAAACTTATTTAACAGCAAGTGGGCCGTTGCGCAATATTCCGTACGTTTAATTCTGTTTTATTGTATACATATTTGAATATTATATATTGATGATTTCTTTGTAACGAATGGGTAGACCAGTTTTGAATAGTGGTTTCGTTTACCCCCCTATTATGAATTCGTACTATGCACGATAAACGCTTGCATTCTGTTATTTTCTATTATAAATCTACGTTGTCGTAGGAAAACCGATAGTTAGCGGATCCATTCACAACAATACATCTGTCGGACGTACGATAGTACGAGAACTGATTTCATACGATACGCCTGCAAGCGTTTATCGTCTATCGTATGAAAATTCATAATTGGGGGGTTAGTTGAAGTTCACTTGACTGCATGGCAAGGCATTAAGCGATTTCGTTACATACATAAATTGATTAGGTTTCAAAGTAAACATAAATTTCATTTAATTTTATTCATTTTGTCGGGACCAGTACACGACTTTTTCATAACCACTTTCAGAATCATTTCGTGACTAGGTTCTAATTTTCCCGAAATGATCCCGAGCTAGTCCCAAAATTATCCTGAAGTAGTCTTACAGTGGTTCTGAAAAAGTAATGAACTTGTCCCGAAAGGATTTCGAATAAGCTATGAAACGGTCCTGAAATGGCCCATTACTAGCCCGAAAATAGTCCCGAACCAGTCCCTAAATGGGTCCTGAAACAGCTCCGAAACGATACCGAAATAGTAGTGAGCATGCCTCGAAACGGTCGAAAACCCAGTCCTGAACAAGTCGCAAAATGGTACTAAATATTCCTGAAAAAACCCGGAAATGGTCCTGAACTTGTCCCAAAACGATTCCGAAATGGCCCTGAACAGGTCCCAAAAAGGGCCCGAAATTATCGCTCTTAATGATCTCATTACCTTGCCAGAATAGTTACTAATAGTCCTGAATAAGTCCCGAAATGGTCCTGAAATAGTCCTAAAACGGTCCCGAAATCATCCCGAATTAGTACCGAAAGATGCTGAAAAGGTCCCAAAACGGGCTCGAAATGATCGCTCTTAATGGTCTTGTTACCTTGCCGAGAATGGTGTCAGCTCTGTCCATTGTTGTCGGGAACAACATTGACCTCCTCATTCTTCTTTCCTTGGATGCGCTGTCCCACACTTCCACGGAGTTTACTATTACCTTAGCCTGAACGTTATTGATAGCTCCCTTTATATTAAGGAAATCACAATCACGAAGAAGTAAAAGTTAAAAAGCCAGTGTGCCTTATATAATTATGCCTAGTCAATGATCGGTTTCTAGATTCTAGCCCAGATACTTCAACCCGTGAGAGAGCGTAAGGAGAATACTGTCAATTGAGGGAGGTTGTGCGGGGATATCAGAAGTTATGTGAAAAGAACCAGCTCTATTTTGCCACTAGTTCACAACTAATTTGCCATGCCGTTGTGTCTACGGTGTCCGACATAGGCAAGCATCCAACAGTGCTTGCTTTCCAAAGTCTCCACTAAGTCGTTAACGATCTCCATACGACCCAAATCCATGATGGAAAACTTAAGCCAAAAAGTACCTCTCCTATCTCTTCTCTGGTTTGATACACTGTCCCACACTGGCACGACTGTTCTGTCACAAAGCAGCCGAACTCCACGCTCAGCTTATCCAGCAGTGAAATTCTAATAATCGCTACGGAAAATTTTCGTTGTTGAAATTCTCTAAACGGAAAGATGTGGGGCCTAAAAGTATACAACATGGAAAAGTAATAGTGCCAATGTGTAATCAGCCAAATCAGGCAGTTTGAAGGGCATGCAACTAGATGTTGTGTGTTTTTTGGGGCGCCTGGTATTCTTTTGGAGATTTTTGGCGACCAAATTAGCGATAGCGAATGTCGGAATCCGGCTGAAGGAAGCTTTTAATTTACTTAGGCTAGATGTCAAGGAAAGCAACATCAAGGAACAGCGAAGACTAAAAATTGTCGATTCTATTCGGTCCTGATATACTGAAACTCAAGTAAAGAGGCTGAATTTCTCTATAAGGGGTTGTTGTGTAACATAATTAGGAATGTGGAAAAAGTTGAGTTCTTTCGGTGGTAAAAGTGAGACAATTAGCGAAATCCTTGAAAGACTCGCAACTTTTCTAGTCCAAGAAATGAACTACCTAAATTTATATATTGTTCATAAATATAAATTCGAGTTTTCCATGGTTAGACCCCAAACTCTTTCGATCTTAACGATTGATCAAAGTTCGAAATTGTTTGCGCTTCAAGGGCGGGGTAAATCTTAACGAAGTCTTTGAACACCGAATTAAGTTAAGTTTAAGACAGGTTTGCTAACGAGCCATGTAGCCATCGGAAGGCACGCGGAGAGGTTAGAGGTCTCCCATAACTAATTCTGCAGAAGCTGCAGAGTTGACGAAGGCCACCTGTTATGCTAATGAAGCCCAATATATGTATGAAAATAAAAAGTAGATTCTACAAAAATTAGTAAGGATTCAATCCTAAACATTTTCCAAGCCTTTATTTTGACCAACACCATTACTGTGTCTCAAAACTGGTCCCAAACGGGGCGATTTCGTCAAGATTCAGAGATCCAATAGCGAGATTCTTGATCGACTGCTAGTTTTGAATCTACAGTGTGTCCTAGACCACCCGTCCCCCCGTCTCTAAAATGGAGGGAAATGTTTTTTTATTGAAATACGAAAAAAACCTAACAAATCCGTGGTATAAATATGCATATCCCACATGCTTTAATCACAACCGAAAGTCGGTAATACAACTAAAAGATACAGCATCCATCCATGTTTTTTTCGTTTTGCAGGGCGAGTTGAAGTTTGAAGGTCATTTAGAGATTGAAAAAGGCACTTACGAGAACAAAGTTTCAAACAAAAGTTACGTACTTTTATCCTCAGAACTATATTCTGTAGTAAAAACATGTACGTTTAATTAAAAAAAATGGACTTCTGGTCAGTTTAACCCACGTCCGGTCGAAATTGAAAGTCGGTAATAGAAGCAAAAGATAGAGCACCTTGATTTGGCAAGCCATATTTTTGCGTTTTTCAATAAAAACATTTCCTTCCATTTTAGAGTGGGTGACGGGTCGTCTAGGCCACCCTGCATATGTAATTTTAGCTGTCGAAAACACATTTAGAGCTCCATACTAAGTATTCAGTGCTTTTTGTGTCATACCAATCTTATAGCTGATTGAATCGCTGCTAATCTAGAGTCTGAAGACGTATGATATGATACAAAGAACACCGGCCAATTTTTTTGAAGAAAGCTTAGGCCTGGAAAGCCTACAAAGCCTAAAGTCTACTTGCAAAACCTTTTTCATGGGGTGTCTTTAGATTTTTTTACTACTTGCAATTCGAATTATGGCCCACTTTAGTTCTTTTTTCATTGTTGCTAAACATTTTTAAATTTCCGGCTCGCCTTGGCTTGATGCCGTGCATGTTCTGGGACTATACTAGATTCTTCGTTTGTTCGACAATTCGACGATAAAATACAGTTAAAAGCTATTGTTACATTTGTAAATGTATTCGCACATTATTGTTTGGCTTCATCCGTTTTTCCAGCTACAGCCGTTTCCGCCTCATCACGTGGATGCCTTTTTTGTTCGGCCACTGGGCGCAGGTAGGTTATATTTCCACCACCGATAGCCGTCGCAGTTTGTGCATCTGCCATCGCGGACACAACATTTGCTGATGGTTCAGAGGGTTGAGCTTGCAGTAATCTACGTGGACCATATTGCTGTGCTATACGTTGCATCAGTTGCGCATAGTCCACTGGTTGATTGCGGAATTCTGGATGTTCTTTGATATACTGCTCGTAAGGTACAGGTATTGGCACGGGTACAGCCGTAACTGGGTAGCCAGCATCGATCAAAGCTTGAAATTCACTTTGTGTGAGCGGTTTGCCGCCTGGTTGTGGCAAATGTAATTGACGTACGTCTTCGATGGACTTCGTCTTGACCGCATTGCTACGCGATGGTGTAGCGATGCCTGTGCCTTGCGCGACAAAAATGCTCGATTGCGATGGTGCTGGTGGTGGGGAAATGTATTGCCGGCCTGAGTGTGTTTGTGGTGGTGGTGCGGGCGCTGGAGCTGAGTAATGATGTGCCTGTACTTGCTGCTGATGCTGAAGTTGTGGTTGTTGTTGTTCAACCGTGGGGGTGTTTGGATCTGGAGGGCTGGGATGGAATTGCGCAGGCGAGCTCTGACCACTGGGTTGTCGGTCGTAATCGTAATACAAATGTGGGTTAAGATATTTAGCCGCGGCGGGTACATTCGGGTAGTTTGGCGGCTCCTTCTCGCGCAATTTTGGCGAAGAAGTAGAGACTTTTGAGCCGTACTTATTCGAGCGGTGAGTTTTGGGTCTGGCCGTAGGTGCCAGTTCCTGATAGAAGTATTGCGTGGGCTGTTGTGACTGTTGTGCTGGCGTGGGTGCTTGAGTTGGTGGATAGATGACTGGTCCCAATTTCTTGGAGTCGACAACGTGTTGTGGCACTTGTGTAGGATAAATGGGTGTTGGCTGTTGTAAGTTGCTAAATCTAAACAAAGAGGGTATAAATGGCTGATTGTTCGCATCTACCAGCGGTGTGGGTGTCGGTTGTGAGTTGCTTGGTGACGAATAAATTTTCTGCTGCACTGCATATTGACGCGGGCGCGGTATTGGATGTGGTTGCAACTGCTGCTGTGGTGGCTGGTGGTGCTGATGCACTACAGCAGATGGTTCATTGGAATTATCCGTTAGCTGAATTGGCGAAGGTTTATTTGCGGCTAGCAGCTTTTCAATTTCATTCTCTAATGATGACTTGGCAAGCGGATGATTTGGCAATGTTTTGTAACTCACTTGCGGTTGATAGTAGGCTAGCTGAGGTGGTATGGGTGGTGGTGCCTCTGCCGCCGGTTCGGCTGCTTGTGGCTCAACTTGTTGCGGCTGTAGTTGAGGCTGGGGCTGCGGCAGATACTTAGGTCCACCGCGGTGGCGTGGCACATACTGCACATATTGGGGTGTTGGCTCTTCGGCAAGCGATTGAGGCTGTGGCTGCGCTTGTTGACGGTAGCTGCCTAAACCTTGACCGATGCGTTCAGTAGGATGTGGCAAGGGTAGTCGTTTTGTTGGTAACGGTGCTGGTGCAGTTTGCTGCTGCTGCTGCTGCTGCCGGTATTGGGCTTCGTGAAAAGCACGTGCACGCAGCTCATCTTCCAAAAGTCTTAGGAACTCTTCTTCGGGTATAATTTGATAGGGTTGTTGTGGCAAATGTTGTGGTGCGCTAGCTTGAACTGCAGGTGCTAATTGTTGCTGTTGCTGTACTGGTACCGCAATATGATAACGTGGCGCGATCTGTTGTGGTGGCGCTCCATAATGTGGCGCCTGCGCGGCTGTTGGATTGGGTGGCTGTATGGCAACAGCATATTGTTGTTCGGCACCTTCCGCATTGCCACGATACTGCGAGGCAGGTGCATGAGCACGTCCTGACTTGACACCTTTCTTCAATTGCTGCGCCGAATGTGTTTTACCGGTCAATTCCGAAGCGGCGGAAGTAGACTTCGGGTGATTGCGATTGATGTCTTGCAGATATGCAAAATGTTGAATCTGTAATGAGAGGGAAAGTTAATGTTAGTATGCTTGCTTTAATTGTAATTTTCATTTAAAACTAAATAATCATAATACGATTACAGTAAAGTGAGGTGATATCGAGTACGCCTTCGTTCAAATTGGAAAAATTTCTCCGAGCCGTTGGAAACCAAACTTTGTGTATTATCAAACATTTTTTTATTTAGATTGAGTGTATTATCTTCAAGGCTGGAAAGCGTAGAACTAATCTGAACTATTAGTACATAGATTGGGGCAAAAAAAGTTAGTCTAGCGGTGAACGACGATAAGAGAAAGTACCTCAACAGAGTGGGAGTGTTATATCTGGTTATGGACCGAAGAATATCTGATTCGGCCCTCTCTGGCCAAATGACCACATGGCTCATTACCAGATACTCCCGAGTGACCTGGAACCCATGGTAAAAAAAAATTTCACTACGTTTTCCTACATCATCATTGCCGAACTAAATTTCCGGCTACAGCAAGTTCCACCTCTCTCCACACTGTGTCATACCATCACCCATTCCGTTTAAACTTACAGGTGGTCTTAAGGCCATTTCCACGTATAAAAGTATTAAGTGACCATTATATGTAGGAGAAGCTCCCGTACAGTGCACTGCCATCGTACTTGGAAGCTTGGTAAGCAGATTTCATACGATATTGATTGAGTCTGCTCCACAACACCACACATGAAAATCCGATTATGAGTATTTTCATACAGGTTTAAATTCAGAGCATTTCTCTAGGTGACAGACCCCACGTTTTACCAAAGACCTGTTTACATTGCCAGAACGCTATTTAGGCTTTGGAGGTCTTTTGTTCAACGTATGTATGTATTCCACTGTGTAGGATTACATCTCAAACCTTTACTTCGTCTCCTTTCTCATGTCTCAAAACCCATACGTAAAGATTTATGGCCCTACTTAGCGAATTAAAGTTTGAGTGAACATTTTTGAGAGCAACAATCTCCAATAAGTCATTTTGAGTGGAATCAGCTGAAATGATGACAAAGCCGATTTTCACGCCAGGTAGTTGAACCGGTACACAGTGGAAGAAATGGTCAATTTGGCGGCGCTTTAGTGAAATTTTAAATTTTCGAATCCCGCCAAATTTCTTGCTTTTTTTATTTTGTTTTCTTCAATATTTGCCCTGCTGCGAGCGTTCAAACATATTTTCAGCAAGTGCATTAATTATTTTCGGCTTTTTTGCAGTAAAAAGTTTGTTTACAGAAAAAATTTTATTTTTCTAACTTTCTATTTGGATCAGTGGTTTATTTGAAATTATTAGGTATGTGTTAAAAAAAAAAAAATGTTTGTGGCCTGTGCTTAGATAGATAGATAGTTGGTTGGGTATGGCACTGCGACCAATAGGTCTATTGTGCCCCTAGCTCATCACAACACATCAACCAGCCCCAGAGTGTCTATAAATTTCATAATAGACCCCGGGGACAGGGAGTGTATGTGCTCCTCTCTTGGCCAGACGTGCCCTATGCTCCTATACCTCCTGCGTGCAACGGACTCACACTCCATAAGGAGGTGTAGAGGAGTCTTGTAACCTCCTAATAAGCTTTTCGCCTGACGTTGGCCCATGGTGCCAAGCCAGTGCAGTTCCCTCAGTTTGCTGTTGTCCCTTCTGAGCATTTCCTTTATGGTGTTGGGTCCTACTGCCAGAAACGGCTCAGGTCCTATCGGTGTCGAGGAAGCGGCCGTTCTGGCCAGATGGATCAGCTTCCTCATTTCCTGCAACCCCCATGTGCCCTGGTACCCACATTAGTTGGATATCGTTGACCTCCGCCAGAGCATTGAGCCTCTCGACACACTCCCAAACCAAGGAGGACTTGATCTCGAATGATGAGAGGGCCCTAAGTGCCGCCTGGCTATCACTTAGTATAAGTATCCATGAACAAATCCAGGGGGAGCTGGGTACCTAGCTTGTCCCTGGCCTGTGCTTATAGGTTTTAGTGCTTAGTCGTGGTACAAAATGCCCTCTCTGATAAAGTGTTTTAGCATGTGTATGAATGTTGGGTAGATTCGACAAGATTCGCCTCAGTATTTTGTTCGTTTTTTAGTATGACTATGTCAACTTAAAGAATTAGGTGCAGGTTTTTACAATTTTTTGATTTTTTGCGTATTTTAGGTACAATTTCCCTTTTTTCAATTTGACACAGTAAACCAGTACCAACAAAAAAGTTTTTGGTTGTCGAAAATCGCGTATTTTCTAATATTATTGATCCCTCAAAACATACAAATACAAAAATATACAAAACATATTACACTTAAAATTTGTTATTTTTTCAAAGTTATTAACAAGGCGCCGCCAGATTGACCATTTCTCCCACTGTGCCGTATCGAAAATCATAATTATTCAATGATAATAACACTTAATTATTATTATCGTTGATTCAATTCTCATTTTATAATAAAAAATTCTCATCCAAATCATTTAATAGTTTTTTAAACTTAAACCGAAGAATGAGATCTCCTTTTTACTTAATATGTATAGATTTATAATTGTTAAGTGCTAGGCACAGTCAGATAAAATTTTTTTTTTTATAGAAAAAGAATCTATCATATGACGATTTTTTCCAATGGGTATTGAGGCCAAGGTCAACAAATAATAATTTCACAAAAACCTGCTAGATTACAGCGTACACAATTGTGATAATTCTTTGTCTATATAGGTGAAAATGACCAAGTTGTTCAATAATAGATTCATTCGCGTACAATCCGGGCGGGGTCCAGTAATTAGAGAGAGAGTGAAAAACATTTTCTCTCAAAAATGGTAAAATGCCCAGAAATATGGAACTGCCATCAAAACTAAAGTTTCCCGTCCGAGAGCACATTCTTCCACTTGTTTGGCATCACAACCGTTTTTCGTTTTTGTGTCGTCACCAAAACGCTTCGCCAATTGCCGCTCTCCTTCCAAAATTTGCCTCAGTTCTTCATCCCTAGCACAGACAGGTCCTTCTGAACTTTGTCCTTTCATTTGATTGGAAGCCCTTGCTTGTTCATTTATCGGTGCTGAGTCGAACGATCTTTTCACTGAAGCGTCATCATCCGGGCATACATAATACCCAAGCCAGTGCAATCATTGTATTTGGTCTTATTGTCATTTTCCCTCGTCGGAGACGAGTTGTTCGGAGTCCTCTTCCAACCACAAATACCACATCAAATTTGTACACCGTTTCATGGTCGCTATAATAAAGCTCATATGCTGAATACTTCATGCAGCCGTGTGCATTGCGGTTATGTCAGTCTTGACCCTTTTAACGCATATGAGAGAATCGCGATTCTTTACGCTGTGCACTTATTGATATTCTCTTCTTGAAATTTTCATTGTGGTGGCATGAAAACCTTTTTTTTTGTTTTTTTTTTTTTGAACGGATCTTCTGTCATTTCTGTGTAGCTCTTTTTTCATACGATTCTAGGCCTGATAAAAATTTGTGAACTTCTTTTCATTTTATTCAGTTCTTCTTATTTCGCGCTGTAACCCCCAAACAATTTTGTCGAGTCGTGTCTCTTCTGTGCCAACTGATGCGAATTGGAAATGTCAAGTGAAGCCAAGTCCTTCTCCACTTGGTCTATGCATCGCAGTGGGGTCCTCCCTCTTCCTCTGCTACCGCCAGCAAGTTCTGAGTTGAACACTTTCAGAGCTGGAGCGTCGGTGTCCATTCGAACGACAACGCCCAGCCAGCGGAGCCGCTGTATCTTAATTCGCTGCACTTTATCCCTGTCGTTCTAAAGCTCATACAGTTCATCGTTCCATCGTCTGTGGTACTCGCCGTCGCCAATACGTTAAGGCTCGTAAATCTTCCGAAAAATCTTTCTCTCGAATACTCCAAGAGCCGCTTCATCAGATGTTTTCGTTGTCCATGCCTCCGCGCCATACACCAGCACAGGCATGATGAGTGACTTATAGAGTGTGATCTTTGTATGTACGACGAGAGAGGACTTTACTTATCAATTGCCTACTCAGTCCAAAGTAGCACTTGTTGGCGAGAGTGATTCTGCGTTGGATTTCCATGCTACCATTATTAGCGGTGTTTAATGCTGGCTCCCAAGTAAACGAAATTCTCCACTTTCTCGAAATTATACCTGTCAACAGTGACGTAGGTGCCAAGGCGCGAATGTGCTGACTGTTTGTTTGATAACAGGAGATACTTTGTCTTGTCCTCGTTGACCTCCACAAAAAGTTATCAGATTTTTTTTTTTGTAAAAAAATGCTGCGATAAAAGCAATAATATACAAAGTGAAATATTTTATTCACCAATTTTCTTAAAAATTTACCAGTCTTTGAAAGGAAATAAAATTAAAGTATCTCCCACGCTCACAAGCACTGATATGTATAAGCTTAGTTCTTGAGGCAACAAAAAAAAAAAATATGCCTTTTCAAGGGGAGCGGTTTGTTTGTGTGGTAGGTTCAATAGACCTTTTTCGACAATATACATACATACATATGTACATATGTATGCCGTATACAGCTGACTCTCAAAAGTTCAAAATCTATTTTTCCAGCAATAATTCCGTTACATGAAGGTCGCAAAATGTCAAATATATGTAGTAGTAACGAACGTACAAATCCCCCGCCGCTTGCAATTAATAGTCATCCATAAAGTATTAAAATATTAAGTACAACCACAAATTGTGGCATACACATAAAAATGGCCTAAAAAACCAAAATAGCGAACAAATGATTATACATTAAGAGTTAGACACAGCGCACTACTTAGGTAAACCTACAAAAAAAAAAACATAAGAAAAAACGCAATTCGGTGAGAATTATGTGGCATCTACTTACATAAAAATGCTCACATATCTACTAAGAAACTGTAAAAAAACACAAAAATACTTCACATACATATAAGCGCATGTGTTGTTTTTGTAGCTGTTGTAGGCGTCGCAATGCTGCAATCGATGAGTAATAAAAAGTGATTGTACATACATACATATGTGTACATTAGGGTGTGCCAGAACTTAAGCAGTTGAGCAGTGAGTTTTTGT